GCCAGAAAAACCCATTTCGCTTTCTTATACAGCTCTCAAGGATCTACTGCTAGACTATGCTCAGTATACAAATTTCGAATGTCGTAAAGGAGGAAGATTTCGTAAAATGATTCATGAGGATATAAAAAAGTCCACTACATTACTACGTCATCCCAACCCAGTGCATACTCAAGGTTATGCAGACAATTCATTGAGTTTGGATGCAGTTCACGAGGATGGGGATAAGTTTGGTCAGTGTTTGTCCTGTTGCAAGTTCCACTCTTCTAATTCATGTAAATTTCGTAATTCTATGTGCTTCAAATGTCGTGATATTGGACAATTTCAGTCAGTTTGTAATGCTAATGTTCATCTTACTGCAACTAATATTAAGTCTTGTAATTCTGATTTTACTGAGTCGAGTATTCATGATGATCATTTATCCTTATCAACGATTTCAAAAGACAGTGCAGGGTCATATGGCAGTTCAGAGTTAAATGAAACCCAGAATTCTTGTGAGACAACAGTTCCTAATCAACCGATTTATCAGAATTCTCATGCTATTGTACCAGGTATGACTTTCCCTAATGATTCACATATTTCTAATGAAATTACTTGCAATTCTGAGGAAAATATGTTAAATGAACCTAATCATGATCGAAAACCTGATGTGGTTTGGATAGATGCTGATTTTTCTAACGATCCTACGCTCTGCAATGACAGTCCTGATGAATTTCATGAGAATATTTCAGAAGAATCAAATCCTGATGTCATATCATATATTACCTATCCTCATAATGTATTTGATCTTCGTGAAAAACCTGCCCAATGCGAAGCACGAGTACTAAGTGACCTCGAGTTTTATTATATTTCGGATGATTTCATATCAACTGCTGTTTACTCTTATCACAAAAACAGTTCTAATGTTTACTCTAAACAATGTGAGATATATGTTTTAAATGAAGCCACATTATTCATAACTTGGGAGTATAAAGATCCAACATTATTTCGTGGGGGGGGGATAGTGTTGAAAAATCTATGGTTCGAATTCTAGATATTAATGATTTCATTACAAAACCGACATGCTGGTTGTATACAATTCCTGGTGAGTCTGTTCCGATTTCGTTTGTTAATTTCAATACTAATGAGCACTTTCTAGATACTACAAAGTTTTTATCTTATACAATGTCGGACAGACTCAGGATGAACTTAACAAGAAGACGTACAACCGATTACAAACACTTATACTTCTATTTAAGCTGTGGCGGATGTGGTGTTTGAATTAACTAATGATTCTTTTGTACTTGTTGAATGCTCGATTTCGAATTCTAAATACAATACATTCGTTTGTGCCTGTGTCTTCTCAATTCAATTACGTTAATCCTGGAATTCCTAATTCATACGATAATTCGAATACTATATTTATTTAAATTTTTAAGCCATTTGTTTTATAGCTATAGAGTTATTGCAGTAAATTTCGTACTCCAAATTTATTTTATAGAGGTAATAGGGTCACATGCTGTGAACACAAAGTCTACAAACTACCATGATAATAAATATTGTACAATACCTACAGAAACGATAAATTTTGTGGTACAGAAATGTTCGAAAACCCACCAGGTTGAAGATGTTTGGCGGATTAGCACTTCTAGAATATGTTTGAAGGCATTTTTTTGAAAAATTACAAACGAGACGTTAAAGTGAAATTCAATATGTCTTTTCTGTTTTCAATGTTATGTTCTAAACATTTTCTAACTTATTTAGGCTAGACACTTGTTTGATTACATTTGATTCTACTCCATAGTGTGGTGTACAGTTTCTTTGCTTTCTGTTAATATCAAATTAACTGACTAATCATGAGTTTATTGTGAAATCAGTACTCTACATATAAATCTCATCAGTTGCTGGTTGTTCTAAGACATTAACATGTGAACATGATGATTTATGGTGGTACATTGGGTTATAGATTTGACACAAAGTCGTAGATATAATTAGAAAGTGAGAGAATACTTTTGACTTTTGACCTACGAAATCGCGTCCAATTCACAGAATAAACATATACGGACGATCTCAGTTAAACAACCATCGGAAAGCATAAAGCACTAGACGGTTGTTTGTCCTATCGTTGGACACCTTATCCACTAATCCACCTTGTTTTCAATGGTTATCTATCTATGGTCAATCACTAGTGTTATTTACGAAATACGACAGTCATCATAATCTCCCTTTTGTAATTAACGAAAAATTATATTGAGGAAATATGAATTGTATAGATAGTCATTTATGAACTTATAGTCACTCACACAAATCATGAGTGTGATTTCAGTCCAACAATTGTGATTAAAATTGTATTAATCTAACTTGTAGAAAATAAAGGAAGATTATAGAAAAGGTTTGATTGTAGATTAGTGTTGTGGTTATTTTAACAACATACATTCTGAAAAATAGTTCGAATGAATCCCGATAGTTCGATAAATGTACTGGACACTTTTCACGGTTATTATGTGTAACTTCAATGAATAGATGAATTACTATAATCTTTTTAATCAGTTTGTCCTTTACATGGGTGTATAATAGAACGTACGCGTCAATGTAATTACTTGTATATTTTATGGTTAGAACTACTGAGTCGTGTTGTAATTAAATGGAGTAGGCTCAGAAGCTCTTCTTCATCTTCCATATCTTACTGTCCGTTTGAATATCCGAATGTCTGAAATAAATTCTTACATCTCAAATCGTATTTGTCTTTTATTACCACCGTTGTCCTAACAGGGATAGACTAAATATGATGTACAAAATTTGACGAACTTCCGTTTATACTTCACTCATCGTGCTTCATAATCGAGTGAACACATTGCCACAAAATAAGTATATTGTAGAATGAAATACGAGTATTCTTGAAAGATTTTTCAGATTGATTAGTGTTGTCAAATCGATATTGACATTCAAAAAATTCTTTGATTTCAGGAATTTACACATATCAGATTATCACTCTTTTTCAATATACATCCCTTTTATAACTATATGACCGGATGCGTTTTCTTCTTGCAGATTATTTTAATTGGATGAAATTAAAAACGAGAACTAGGACAAATTAATTCTCAAGAACGACTATAACTCCATAATAAAATGTAACAAAACGTCAATATTACATTTTATAGTTATAAGTCTATTCGGATTTTATGATGCTTGAAGATACGAAATTTCTGCAATACTGTGGGTGAAATGCTTGCAAGTGTAGATATAAATGAAAAATGGATCTTTTTCTTCAAAATAATAAATGAACTATCTTTTACATCTATTGATACAATCCAATATACAGAAACACCTAGTTATAGAATCTGTAACCGTTTATCATTAGTGAAGCGATTTCATTCTGAATCTTCTCTCTATATGAAATAATCTACTAGCAAATTTTCAAAGCCGGAACAATTTGTAATAAATAAAATCATTGCCATTTTTTTAATTTGTCGCATTAGTATTGCAGTAACTTCTTTCTGTGCTCTCCGTTTCCAATTTATTTTCTCTAGTTTTATATTACGATAAATATTTTGTAAACGTACTAGGATCATCCCTCGATGAACCACTCACTCATTATTCAACAAGATATTGCAATCCACCTCCTACGAATAATTGGGTCCCAACTGCTACCTCATGTTATTATAATCTATAGGATAAATTTCCTTTCAAAACAATCAATAAAACATCATTCCAAGTCATTTTATCCTTATATCTCGGTGCTTTACATGTAGTAATTCCTTCTGTACCAACCTGATCATCCATGTAAAATAGCATGTGCTGTAATCATTTCTAGAATATATATTTTTTATTTACATGATACTTAACTGTCTTGAATCTGGAGAAAATCAGCTTTTAAAACGGATACATTATCTTGGGATTTTGATGTATCAAATTCTTATTCACAGTTAGTGAATATTTTAACACAATTATGGGACACTAGTTCGATTTCTTAAAATGTCAAAAACACTTTCGACTGATATGGGGTATGTAAAACAAAAGTAGAAGGAACATTAGGTTATCACTAAATCTTGTCATTCCTCCAAAATTCACTCACTTGTATTAAGTTTTTCTTAAAAATCGCCAAATTACAGGGCAGTTGCTTAACATGGATGAAGTACACTTTAAAAATTTTCATGTCATTCATTACATTCAATACATATAGGATTTAAATTTATGTCTACTGAGTTAACAAACGGTTGTTATCCTATTTCATAACTTTTTCCATTTCTATATTTATCTTCCTATATGATTATCTGTCGTTCAATATTTAGCATGTCTACAACATACGCATCCTAAATACACTTAGTTACTTACACTTGTTACTCCCAATGAAGCATGAGCCGCCGACCGGCATTCTCCAATCCACTCTGTCCCACTCTGCCTTCCTTTCTACTTATATCCAATTGTTGTTCATTCTTCTCATGGCTGTCTCGACTTCTCGACGTAATGTGTTCTTTGGTCTTCCTCTTTTCCTTTGGCCTTGAGGATTCCATGTGATGGCTTGTCTTGTGACGCAGTTGGGTGCTTTCCTCAATGTGTGCCCTATTCACCTACAGAGCTTCTTCCTCCACTGGGATTTGGTTTGTTCTCTCACACAGAAGGTTGTTCCTGATAGTGTCTGGTCAACGAATCAGAAGTATTTTGCGTGGAGAGCTGTTAATAGACAATTGTATCTTCTCGATGATTGCTTTCGTAATCCCCCACGTTTCCGCTCCATACAGTAGAAGTGTTTTGACATTTGTATTGAAATTTCTGACCTTGGTGTTGGTTGAGCGTTGTTTTGAGTTCTAGATATTCTTCAATTATAAATATGCTACTCTTGCTTTGCCGATTCGCGCCTTCACGTCCGCATCAGATCCACTGTATTCATCAATTATGCTGCCCATATATGTAAAGGTTTTTACATCTTCTAAATCTTCTCAATCAAGTGTGATTCAATTGAAATATAATTAGTATTTAACTTTAACATTACTCAAAACATGTTGAATCAACAGAACATATATAAAATCAAACAGGATATATATTTTATTCACGTCATAGTAGTCCGATTATACTGGAGAAAACAATGAGCAACAATATACATAGTGGAAAAACCAAAACAACTAGGACATATGTATTTAGCCACTTTACACCAACGTATCTCTCTAATTCTATGAACACTTTGTAATAAAAAATGTATGAATTCCTTGTATCCTCTAAACATGTCTGGTCTTTTTTTTTACAATAATGGCTTTATTCTTTCGTATTTGTCGTAGGTTCTTTTCAAAATTGTTTTGAAAAACCATTAGATTCATTATTTTCTGTATGTAGCGTTGAATGGTCTGTTGAATTGGTTTTTGACAATAATCTGGATTTGATAGGATGTGCAATGGTTTCGTATTCTCGTTTATCGCCATCATTTTTATTAAGAATATTGGGATTTGACTGTTGGTCAGCTACTACTTCTGAACAAGATTTATCATTACATCCACCATCAATATCATTACCGATGTTGCTTTTCGGTTGATCTAAACTTTTAAATATAGTCAATGCCTAAAATTAATGATGGTAAATGGAAAAAGCGAAAGAGAGAGAAAAGAAGACAATCTCAGTAATAACACATTTTCTACTGTGAAAGAAAATTCAAAAAAAACGAAACACTTGAAAAATTACGACAATACTGTCTGGTATATTTCCAGATACACCATGAGCTATACTGAATAAATACAGTACATAATTGAAGATCTGCACTACTGACATATTGAATAAAGAGTAATGTTATTTCTCTACACAAAATATTTAATTTAAGTGTGAAGAGATCACTTTAGTAGTCAAATAATTCAACTTTTAACCATTAAATCGTAGATTTGAACCCTAATTCACCTATTTTGGTTTCGGAAGCTGGGTGTAGATCTGATTCATATAGAATGAAATGCGATGTAATCTGTAGAGCTATGTAAGTAGTATAGTTGGAACAAGTTTCATGAAGATTTACTAAATCACATCAGCTATGATGCCAGAAGTCTTTTAATAATTTTCACTTACCATCAAACTTTACAGTTACGCAAGAAGCTGAATTAAAAATACCATTTCTTAACACTTACATACTAAAAGAAATATCTGAATACTCAAAATGTTTATATAAACAGAAAAGTAACATAGAATGAACAACTAACAGAGTTATCGAGTTTGGTTCTGATAACAAGGCAATGATATGTTATTCATCCATTATACTTTAGATATATCATGAAATTTGTTCATTAGAATAATTGGAGAACGAACTAACCAAGAACGAATCTTATACGTTTCTATCCAATGATTTCATTTTCTCCTCGACTTGTATTGTCTGTGTCTAGTCCTTTCTACTATAACTAACACCGTTACTATATTGGCATTTCTCTTGATAATTTCATCTAGTTGTGCTGATATGATAAAGCCATTTTTGTGGTGTGGGTTACTTATATCCACATAAGTAGTATGTAACGGTGGTCAGGCATAAGATGTGTTTCAGTAGATCGATAAGGGAAGAACGGAAACGGAAAGCAATTGGTATGAAAATGTATGAACGATGAAATTTGAGACAATGGACTGATATTTGCGAAAGGAACAGTCAAGTTTGAAACGATGGATTGATATTTTGTAAATTAACTATTTACTATATGGTTCTCAGATTTTAGTGAGATGTTCTGTTTATTTGTGCTCAAATACATTCGATTAATCCACTCGTGTTCGTGTTCACTACATTTTAACTGATGCACAAATTTGTCAGCTTCTTTTACATTGCATATGACTGACTGAAGCCAACCAAATCCAACACTTTTTTAAAATTTCAATTTGAGAAAGACATTTCTAATGACATACTTGAAAATTATCTGAAAAGATCAATTCAAAAAACATTCCATGCAGCAAATCTCTACATAAACTACTCTAATAGCCTGTTTATAGGCTTCTGCATAAAAGACAGGTTACTACTAATGACCAATTGTACTTGTTTGTACCAGTTTTCCAGGTCCTGTATAACCATGTGTGTAGGTCGCCCATCAAAGCTGCTTCTTCAATGCATCCAGAAACTTATAACTGAATGCCAGTATCCAAGTCAGTAGATCCAAAGGCGGCTAATGATGATAGTTAACAGAAAATATTTATTTCAATCTGTATTAAGGAAACTAATCAGATCAAATATATGGTCAACGAGGAGATTGTCAAAAAAACACAAGCATAAACTAGAAAAACAAAGACTTAAATCAGTAGGCATAAACGCTTAAGGAAACAAGAGAACTAAATCAGACATGACTTTTTTCAACTCACTCAAACACTTCCAAAAATAGATCAGAATGAGCATTTTGGAGGGGGTGTATTCTTTGGTCTGAATGGTCCAGTAGACGGACCACACAACACCGAATATAAAGATGGTGACCAGAAAGTAAAATACATTTTTGAAAGGTTAGGCTAAAGCTTATAGCGAGTAATAAATTGAACTAACGTCGTTTTGACATTGTAAGAAATGTGGACAAATTCCAAGATTGATTAAACTCACTTGAGTAACCATTGACGCAACATCACCACTGTGAGATGGTAATAATACTGTATTAGTTGTCTTCGCTAAAGCACTGAAAGCTTCTATGTACTGTTCAGCTACTGTAAGCTGTACTGCATCTGCCCCACGCTAAAAATAAAATACAAACAGGAAAGTGAATCATTAGTACGTTTATAGAAAACCTTTCTAATTGTAAAATCACAGAAAACTCGGTGAATATATGATATTTCATTGGGTTCAAAGGTACTCTACTTTCATTATGGCGACTTCATGTTTTATGCTCTAAACGACGACAGTTAATTTTTCGAGACATTGTAAGATTCACTGAAATAAGGCACTCAAGGTCAACTAACATGAGAAGACCGTTTTTGCTTCTCGTAATACATATATATATAATAGTTAGCTAAGATTAAAGCCCACATTGCAAGTGATGAACCTAGGAACAACAGTTAATTATCAGAACAGACAGGCACAAAAATAACCGGTTCAAAATGGCCGGATATATAATATATGTAACAACCAATAAGAGGAAAATTAGTTTACAATAGTTACTTAAGCATGTTACAAATGTCATTCCAGAGACTTTCACATTGTATTTGATTTGCTAACGCCAAACTGGTTGGAAAAAGAGAAGAAGTGGTCAGTGCATGGCACGACGCCGTAGTATGTAAAAAAGCTGTATAGAACTGGAATCTGTCGGTTTATTACAGTTGAGGTCTTCGAGATTATACAAATGAGTGGCTTGGGACATTGAAATATATAACTCAAAATAGGAGCAGACAGTGTTCTTTTCTGTAATTTACCTTTGCACTCTTCACAAAAGTGAGGAAAACTCCTTCAACTGAAAAGATACTCGCTGATTTGTTTCTCCTATTATTATTAACTATTCGCGTTCACTTGTTTTTACTCATTTAGTTCATTTTACTCCCTCTCGTTACTCTAACACTTTACAATCTCATTTTCGTAACTTTATGGAGGATATTTATTTTGGTACCCATATACACCAATATGTGTTTAAATGTTTACATAAAAATTAGGATTGACTAATGAAACATGAGAAATTATATGACAAACAAAACTGACTACTCATAAGTAAGGCAGTTACAAAACACATCTCACAAACGTGTCAATATATACTAATTAGTACAACACTTGGAATTCCATTTTTAAAACTATACAACTGGAAAGAACATAAAACCACATTTATATTCTCCTAAGTTATAAAACTTGAATATTCCTAATTTTTAAGTCTCATTTAATGACATTTAGTACTTTTAGCCTGGTACATACCACTAAACAACTAAGCGCCTCAAATGGATTTATACGAATATTCATCAATATTAGAACACATCGTTTGTCAAAAATTGGGCACCGAATATAAAGAAGCCATTATATATGAAAGTTATATTTGAAATAATCTCAGCGATCGGAATTTTTCAACCTTCACTTTTGTTTTTTTTTCCTTCACACAAAAAAAAATTTAACAACTAATATCAACTATTAATAACTCAACCTTACACACACACACACAATTCATTCAGTCATTTAGCTCCACATCGTGAACTTTTCACATGAGTCGCATTTACTAGAGTCAATACCTAAACAAGATTGGATTAGCACAGTATTGATTTGATTATGTTGATTATTACCCTGAAGAAGTCTAGACAAGTGTGCTGGACGAAGCGTTGAGATTATTTAAGATTTCAATCGCTGAGATTATTTCAAATATAAGTTTCACTTGTAATGAACTGAAATGGATGCTTGAATTTCTATAAATGAAAAAATAAAAATAAACATTCAAAAGGTGTATAATTCTTTTAGTACAGAATAAATTTATCCTAAAAACTTTAGTGATAACTTTCAATGTACTGAAATATATTGCTTACCTTAGTACCGATTGCACGGGCAATGGTTTGGATAGACTGAGCTCGAGCTTCTGCTAGACGTTGGATAGCTTCAGCTTCACCTAAACATTAAGAGGGAAAATCAAATCAACATTCTTCCGTTTAATATAGAATAAAAAAAATCCTGGAACCATAGAGTATCAAGATGTTTTAGAATGATAATCTTTACTACTTCCAAAAACACGTTCCTTTATCTTTGTGATGGGATTTCATCAAGATAGTTTATATGCTACGTACATTATTCGTTTTGATGGCCGTTATTAGTCAACTCCCAATGCTGCACAAATTTCAAAAGACAATACAAAACGTTGACTACATTTTATACAGCTGATGGTAGAACTCAACTTTGGCTAGATTTAAGCTGAAGTCCATCGAAACGTAAGGAGAAATAACGTGGAAACACCATTTTATTGGGCAGTTACTTTCGTGCTAGAAGAACATGAGCAACAATAAGTGGGGAGAAAACTCATTAGTACAGCTTAATGATACACGCTGACAAGACTGGAATTCAGTGTAAGTCGCCGAAAAAGTGAAAACAGAACGCATTTACAAATCTACAAGTACATTACGAATCGAAAACACTTCACCGAAATCTTTAGCACGGATCTATAGGATACAGAACCAATCATAAGCCCGTTGTGCGATCGATATTAAGGTTAGAATATTAAATAACTGCTTCAGATATGACGTTCGATGACAACTCCCAAGACAACCATATAGCGAATTGAAATCATTTAGATAGAATGGGATATGTAATATAAACGAAGTGGTAAATGGAAGATTAAGACTGATATCAAAAATATAAGCACAATGGGATTGGAACAGCACAAATTTAACACAGTATGAAACGAAACACTGTAGTCTGTAAGGTGAGTGATTCGTAATTTTAGCTTCTCTAATTAGTAGTTATCGTGATTGGTGTGATGCAGAAACAGTATTTGGGCCATTAAACCGAAATAGATCACTTCCTTGAATAGCCAGTCTCGAGTCCATCAACGTTTCCCTGTCTGTGTTAGTTCGGTCACATACAAATACAATTGATTGATCACTGGGTGGTGATCAATCTCATGCGTGTCTAGTCCTTATTAGTGCAGATCGAATGCTATCGATCATGTTGCAATGTGGCCACCAGTCTAGGTGACTCGACACTGCGGGCACTATATATTGAGATTAGATGGTGGTTGGAGGTAGTCGACAGGAAACCCTGGATCCGGGTTTCGTGCTATTTGGCACTCGTCAGCAAGGTGTACCTGTAATCTTGAGGGAACTGGTTCTCCCTGGCGGATTCAATCTCGTGTCACCCAGCTTCACAGTCAGAGACGCTACCACTGAGCCCTAGCTGTATATTCAAAGCCTATGTCGTGATTGTCGTCCCATTTCCGCAATCAGGGTGCTCAATTGTTATGAGCGTACGTAACAGTTGAACCGGGCAGAATATTATGACGATTATGCAGCATTCAACTAAAGTTTTAGAAACTATGAAACTCGTTATCTCAACAAATCAGATATGTCTTGGGAACAATGACTTCAATTACGATGGTATTAGCAGTGTTCGTTTTTCGGATAAATATTTGTGAAATCTTTAGTGCAAAATGAGCAGCACAGTAATAACGAAAACTGAACACTTACCTGAAGCTTTATTTACAATTTGAATCTGGTGACCTTCTGACTCTAATACCTGGCTACGTTTTAAACCCTCAGCTCGATTAATAGCAGCCTCACGTTGTCCTTCTGACTCTAAAATGGATGCACGCTTTTTTCGTTCTGCTTCAACTTGCATTTGCATAGCTTCTTTGATTTTTTGTGGCACCTGAACATCGCCTAAAATGCGTATATAAATATATCACAATCACATCACAACTATATTTTACTTACGAATTTCATAACGCAAACACTCAATACCCCAAGGCTCTGATGCTTTGCCTAAAGCTTGTACGATTTGAAAATTCAATGCCTCTCGTTCTTTAAAAACATTATCCAGAATTATCTTCCCGATTTCTGATCGCATAATTGTTTGAGCTAACTTTAATTATCAAAGAAAAAAGGATTCTGAAGTTAAATTGAAGCGAACAGTTTAAATAAAAATGTAATGAAACCTCAACGATAAAACACTGGATATCTAATAGTCCAAATTTACAAAATAACTCCGTATAAAAGACTTCTTTTGAGATTTTGTGAAACACTCGATCACAACAGGTTGGTCCATCTGAGGAAATGCATTTGGAGGTCAGTTACATATTTACTTACGCCTGTTACTCCTCGTCGAAGAGCATAGGCCATCCATCATCACTCTACATTCAACTCTGTCCTGGACAATTTACAACGATTAGTACAGACAATCAATAATTTTTACCTTCCCAACTGATTTCACTGGCGAATATGAAAATTCATTCTATAAACTCTTAAATGAGTTGTCTTCATATGCTTTGCGTAGCCTTGCCTTACATAACATGGTACAGTAGTTTGCTACAACTACACTATTATTTCTGTGGTAGTGTGGATATAATGCAAATTATCATGCTCCAGTATCTACAAAGTAAGCTTCTTGATTAATTTACTCACCGAATCTATTTTCAACTTCGTAAAAACATCTAGTCAGTTTCACCTGAGTAAGACTAAGACATGATCAAAACGTAATTGACAGACTCAATGAACCTCTTCAATGCCATTTAGCAATGACCTGTAAGGTTCCAGGTTGTTTCTTTTGTTCATACTTCACTAATTCTTGATATTGGAGTTGAATGATATTCACAGTTAAAGTTTGAAATTAATACAATCAATACGAAATACACGTAAACGTTTAGATTTCTTAATCTACAAATACTCGACATAGACAAGCAAAGTTACATATTTTATTGCGATTTAAGGCAATCACTATAATATAACAGCAACTATTTATTCAAAAGTACAATTAGTTTCTCATATCCTAGATCGCCTGAAGACAAGTCGCAAAAAAGTGATATTTCTTACAACTAATTTTGACTGTCATATATAAGGAGAAATATAATTCAAATAAGTTGACAACAATAAGAAAAATTTAAAATGTACCTGGGTAATTGCAAATTCAGCCTCGGACACCCCATATGATGCCAAATAAGGATTTTTGACCTTAAGGAATAGAACACCGTTCAATTGTAAAACGACATTATCTAGAATTAAAATGTTAATCATTTAGATTATCGTTCATCTTTAACGATTATCATAAACTTAAAACATTTAGTCCCTTTGATAAATTTCGATAAAGCAATGAGAAGACGAAGTTTATCAGAATTATGTAATATATTTGCGCAATACATTTCGAACAATCTCATCACCATATACTTGTTAAGACATTTTTATATGAGAACTAAAAGGTCAACTAGACAGATTAAAGGTAAGTCGTAACAAAGAAAAATAAAGTACACGAAAACAATGTGGTAACAACTCTGGATAATAAGTCAGTATTGCCAGGGTAGGTTAAGTGTAAGAACAAATTGTTTTTGAACACATAAAGAGGGTTTCAGTTTCCGTATATCCAAGGCTTCAATAAACCTTAGTATACGCTCTTGAAGGATTTTGTACAACGCCACATATGCGGACTTGATATCAACCTTATGACCAGTTTCAACTAAAGGCTTTGCAATAGATGAAGATGTCTATCTGTGATCGTATTTGACAATTGGAATTCATTATCATAAACTTTATTGAAGAATATTAAAGCAGTTGCATTTAAACTCTCAGTAGTTAGTGGAAAAAGACAGAATCCACTCCCATACAAATGCAATAAGACTTTGAAAAGTATCACATCCCTTCAACTTTTAGCAAATTTGAGATTATGTGAGGATAAACAATAGTTCAGCATTAATCAACTCCATAAATCTTGAAAGCATGATGAACTAAGACTATTAATCAGTGTTAAATTTATCGAAGCGTCCAAATCATTAGATTGAGATACGCGCAAAATTGAAGTTCACAAAACAACGATTGGTTTAGAAAAGCGGATCAAACAGTCTATACGTAGGTTGCAAATAATTGACTATATCTTCTGAGAATTAGATGCACAGGACAAAGCCACTAGAAGGCTAGTGATAAAGTTAGATGTAGAGTAATAGTGATAGGTAATGAATAAATAACCTTCATCGACCGAGATGGCCAGAACATGAGTTATGCAACCCAAAAAAACCTGCCTGCAACACTGACTATATCTGTTTTTGTTTCCATTCTTGTAGTTAATATCACTTGTTTCATTTTCGCTTCACCAAGAAAGTTTTTCACATTCAAAAGTTTTAACTAGTATAAATCGCTTCGGATATTAAGATGGCTATGTTCGTGAAAATAAGTGACTTGTAAATCTCGAAATCGTACATATTACATTAGCTACTTTCAATACATCCGCCAGCACACTGATGATCGGACAACATACAAGTTCCGCTAAAACTCTAAAGCACGTTAATCTTGAGAGCCTAAAATTCTATTAAATTGCTACAAATAAATTATCTACTTGTTACCTTGTATTATGTGAACCTAAAGAGGCTGAAAATTAACTTCCTGCCGTTCGTTCAGCTCTAAATGCTTGAGGTAAGCGTCCACAAGAGCAGTTGCAAGGGTAAATAAATACAGACCAAACAGAAAACTTCTGTCTGTAATAAGAAGCAGAACTGTATAGGAAGTAAACAACGCTGCAAGTATCCCGACAAACAAATGAAACTATGAAGAACATCTGTAAAAAAGTTCAACTAATGTGCACTAAAATCATCAGTCTGACGCGCACCGTGGCGAAAATATTGCAAACTATCATACTGCATAGATAAGGAAAAGACGCGGTAAAGATTGGTGTATGACTGAAATGGTCTTACAACTAGTTTATGTGTATAGTTTACTTGCGGATAAATTGCTGGAAAATGTGGTTGTAGGCTTAGTATGTTTAAAAAAGATTAAGAAATAACGTATCTGATTACCTGATGTAATGGCTGACTGATCTGGAATTTCAATGGCCACTTCTTTCAATGACTGTACATAAGCGACGCGATCTAGAATGGGTATACAAAAATTGAGTCCCTGTGATACGTTGTCAGGGATGAAATTTTCAAAAACTAACTGGTTCCAGTGTCCTGTGGAATTTTCCTAACCTTTCAATAACCCATGCTTCTTTCTCTGGAACGATCAATATCCCTATATTTATAGGTGCTCGTGATGTGTAATCACGACTGCTAGCATATACCTAATGAAATAAAAACATTCATATAGAAAGTGAGAATAAACAGTTTGTATAGTCACCCATAAACATAGGTTAGTCACATAGTTGGCTATTCTGAAAAGGACATAAAACGTAAGTGAAATACAAATTTTTAAGCTCAGCCCAATGACTATTTCCAGTGAATTTTTCCCATATTCCTGTAATGTATAAGCAATCCCAATTCCGAAAGCACGACACAGAGATAATCACTAATCTCACAATGTTAATGGGTCAGTATGACTTCTAAGGGCCACTCTCAATCTGTGTCGGTTTCATACACTGCCATATAGTTTAAGTACTACAATTGTATAAACAATCAAGTTTATGAACCGATATAATGACGAGGGGTTTCCTCAAAGTTGTTGAGAATTCTGGGGGAATATTAGTGAAAAAAACGATTTCAGGGAAATTTAACCAAAATTACTGAGAATCTTGATGTTTTATTAATAAATATAGACAGATTTCCGCAGTGTTATGAGACCCTGGGGAAGTTTTGGAGATATCTCCAGAAACACTCGAGATCTCAGTTCTGGAAAAAAAACTTCGTGCCATTTTCCCGAAATTCGGAGGTTGGTAGTAATGATATGACCTATTCAGAACATGACCCCAAGTTGATATTAATTATATCCCAATATTAGTCAGGTTTGTAGTAAATATAATCGCACCTAAAACCGAGACAAGACAACAAGTCGGGCTCTAAAACAGTACCAGAGTTTTAACTACAGCTAACAGCTTGTAAGAGCTATCAACATCCCAGAAAACAGTTTGCATTTATGAGCGTCTTACATAGTAGTATTTCACCCTTTGCTAAAACAATAACAATTATAACCACCATATTGTTAAATAACTGTATAGAATGGCATTTTTGAAGCATTTACAAATCAAAGGCACAGCTAACCCTGGAAAGTCGACAAGTTGAACGGCCAAACACATTACGAATCATGTTGACTGTGACACACAGGCTTAAATTCCCTCCATCACGAAATCCAATGGTTCAAATAGTTTTGCGACATAAAAGCTTTCGCCTAACGGGCTTCCATGTCTAGTAGCAGTAGATCACCAATACTTCAGGCAAGAAACAAGGTATATTACCGATGGTAGAGGAAACCAAATAAATTGGTAAATCATAATAACATATATAAGCGAAGGGACATCGGTCGTTAACTTAAAGGTTCGCTGCTCCGAACACCTTTGGAAATCGGTGTGATGTGAGCCAGCTTCCGAATTTCCGGTAGTTTGTCTCGGTTCAGCGAGTGTGAGAACATCACGCTAGACAGTGTTGCCAGGATTGAAGCTGCTTCTTTCACGATAGCAGAACGAACCATATCCGGACCAGGAGAATTGTCTTTTTTAGGTGCTGCAGTTTCCGGTACACCAAGTCAGCGCACAGGTTCACTTCGGAAAGTCCTGTGCAATTGCAGATGAAGCTGCCATCAGTAAAGTTGATGTGGGTCGGTTGAAATATCCCAGAGTATTGTTCACTCAGAAGGTTAGCGGCGTCACCGTCGTTACTCATAAAACTAGAGGCTGTGACGACGTGATCGCCTTCACCCAGGTGAACCAGGATTAAGAGGTTGCCAACTGGGGATTCTTCTCCTATAAATACCCAGTCTAGGCGCGATGGTGTTTGACTGTTTCTTGAAGGAGTTGTCGGATTCATATTTTTGAATAATCTCAGATCCTGAATGAGGTTGAAGAACCGAGCTTCAGTTGAGTTTACACCTCCGATATACGTATGTTCCGCGAAATTTAATCTAGAGAGATTGAAGTCCCCTAGAATCCGGATATGAGTGAATCCGAGACGCGTAGAGAGGAATAGTCATTCCAAAATACTCGATGTCAGCAGTGGGCTTCCTGTAGGGCCTGCGAAATGTCATTAAGCCCTAGTTATATCATCCAGCATTCGAGTCATTGAATATCGAACAACTCGTCGATCCTCGTCAAGGTCGAGGACAACCAACGTGCATCAGTTAATCGTATGCCATGGACTGGCCGATGCGGCAGTGGTCTTACTTTCGCTTGTATCTACTTTAACTAATTTATTTCTGTAATAACGTCCTCTGTGTTCCACAGTCTTCAAAGCATCCATGGTGCCTTGATACGTTAATGGGGTACTTCACCTATGGTGCTGACCACGAGGTGTGACCTCAATGTTAGCTAGTTTGTCACACCGTTCACGTCTAACTCGAGTAGGTCTCCAATCGTCTCGACATAGATCATCTACATTGGTGATCTACAGTCAGCAGCGGGCTTCCCATAGATGACCCCGACTAGGCACTTCGAAGTAGTAGACAATATTACAGAGCACCATACAGATTCCTCAAGATTTTTAAACTCATGGTTGTGAACTTTGTGTGCCTCCAGGCAAGATCATATGTATACGGCTACTCCACCCCCGATTCCTGTTTTTCTGTCGTCGCGAAACAAGAACATCCCAGGTATTGCTAGCTCTTGGTCCGTAAACTGCGATATCCAAGTTTCAGATATTCCCATCAAATGAGCCTTATTAGCATTGCTAAGTTCACGTAGCTCATCCATTTTTTTGGTAGACTCGCGTCGTTCATGTATAAGCAGTTTATGCTTTCATTTTGAAGTGCGTGAGCTTCTGTCTGTTTGTCTTTATAAGCCTTACGTGAATGGACAGGTAGCCTACCTGTATAAGGGTTGCCGAGTTGGTAGGCCCTGTCTTTTACACGTTTTTTTGTGATCAAGACAGTCCACAAGTGGAATGGTCAGCTCCAACTTGCCGTTGTGCTTGATCTTGGTGTCATGTGGCCTGTCTGGGTGCACATGAACTCCAGTTGTCAACCGACGTCTGTTGGCATGAAATGCTTCCTGACTTGCAGCCGCCATATGGGAGGATGGGAAAGTTGTCCTCATTAGCTGGGGTCTAGAATCATCGTCCTTCTTGGCTAGTCTCGTCACATGTTGAGTCAGCATGTTTTTGAACCTCAAGGACTGTTTGATGAATTTCCACTCCCTAATATCAGAGTTTGCTTGACTAGGGTCCGTATTTTCCGGTACATCTTGCACAATGATATTTCTTCCGCGGAAAAACTTCTCGCGAGATTCTTTAGGGATGTTCCGGATGAGATTGCGCTCAGAATACAGTACGTTGGGCAGTATTCTTACGTTCCCATTGCATTTCAGTAAATGATTAGCTACGTCGGCAGCATTCCTAAGTGTTATACGAAGAAGCCTCGAGTGATTTTGATGCTTAGATTCCTTTCCTCGAATGAGCCGTGTGACTGTCAAAGTCTCTATTCTAGGAAGTTCAAGCTTCTCGTTCAATTCTCCCCAGAGCATCCTGTCGTTTTTGTCCTGCAAGCTGAGGGGAAGGTCAGGGTTGTCTTTGAGGTTCATGACTATGAGAGAGTCATCACGAAACGTTATTGTTTTCCCAGGTTTTCCGGTGCGTTCAGGTTCAGCACCTTGTTGTTTGGAGATTGAATTACGTTTTTGAATCCTAGGCTCTTTGATGACCGGACGGACATTCTTTGTGGTGGACTGTGCGTTTGTATTCCACTCAACAGTGCATTTTGCGGCTTAGCAAACGAAGAGTGTGGTTCTTGATGACTGTAGGTTGCTTGTAGATTTTGGGGACCATTGGAGGAACAGACTGCGTTTTAGCACATAAGATGGCGTGAAGTAAGAAAACCCAATGATCATCCACATCAAGTTGAGGGTGAATTTTCCAATCCACTTGTTGAAGATAGTCCTGTAGAGCTGACACATTCAACTGTTAGAAATTCCAGTGTCTGTTGTTGGTGGGATGTCTTAGCTCATTTTCGCTCATAAAACCACAGGCTGTGACAGCGTTATTGCTTCCACCCAGGTGAAACATAATTGAGAGGTGGTCAATTAGGAATCCCTCGTTTGTAATTACAGAGACAAAATGTTATTTAGTGTCTTTCGTGCAGTAATCGTTTAGGTGTTCTGGAAACCTTACTCTTCTTTCAGAATGCGTTGTTTTGGGTTTGTTTTCAGATACTACCAAAGTGTAACCGTGAATGTTGAGTATCGAATGCGGTAACGCAAGTGTAGGAGTCGTGTCTTTCGATTGTACCGAAGGAAAATCGATGCAAATAGGGTTTCCTTTTAGATACACTGCTTTGATGCAATCGATGCTGATGCTATCGTTTGTTCCGTTCTTATTGATATCATGGTACTTAGGTTCATGCCAAAGAACTTTGAAGGGTCCTTTGTATACTTTTTCGATAGGTCTTCGAAATGAGTATCGACGTACAAAGACGTGTTTACTATATCGTAAGTCTGGTTGAACGAATACATCAGTTGACTGTGGTTGAGTGGGAACAGGTTTAACTAAACTCATTTCGTATTTAAGCCTTTTCGTGTAGGAGTTTATATCCGAATTCTTTGAATAAGATGGAGGATCATGGAAGTCGAAGTGTCGTTCTATAAACGAGTTGAGCTGCAATGTATCCAATGTCAACTTTCACTCCATTGCAAACACCAGGTAAGACGAAAAGGAAAAGCGCCGATCCACTGTGAGATGTTTGCAGCTGATAGAGAAGCTTTTAGCTATTGATGGAAGAGTTCTACCAGCCCGTTTGCTTGTGGGTGGTAGACGGTCGTTCGGAATCGTATGACTCCTAATTGTGCAGTCAGACAATGGAAAAGTTCAGATTCGAACTGGCGTCCACCGTCTGTGGTGATAGTTGAAGGATGATCAAAGTTTGCTACCCACCGTTCGACGGAAGCGCGGACCATTGTTTCATCAGTGATGTTTCTCCAGTTGTGCATTGTTACTTTGGGTTCGGTGTCATCTTGGTATCCGCCAGGTAGTTGGCGATCTGAAGCTATGTCAGCTACTCTGCTGGTTCTCACGTCTTTCATTATTCTGGAGTTTATATTGATACAAATATGACCTGTAAGATTCTTCGCGATGTAATCCAGTGAGACCCATTTAGCTTTGTGTACGCGTTTGTGCGGGAATACAGTGCTATCATTTGAGAGTGTATAGCACTTGATTTCATTATTCGTAAAACCCTTCGTCGTTGTTTTGAAAGATAATTTGATGATTCTGCTTCCATTATATACACATCATATGAGTGCCTTGTGGTGGACCAGACGATATATAAACGCAAAAAGTATCAACAAAGTTAATAAAGATCAATAGAAATGTCAATATATATAAGTTAATTATTACAAATACAGCAGAAAGTTGGGACTTTACTTAAGTTCACCAAACTGATGCGCGTTCGGCTTTGGTCTGGTACTAAGAAACCACAATTATAAATGCTTGGTAATTCCAATCTGGTTGACGAACTCTCCAGTGATATAATTCAACGTAGGATGTGATATATTCCAATTACAGTCTATAAATGTAGATAGTATTTGATTTAGACTTCAGTTAACTCAATCACAAATGAAGATAGAACGAGTAATGTGTGAGTATGTAGAACTATGGTCTACTATGATATTAGTACTGCTCTAATAATAGACCTAATCCTAAATTCGTAGATTCGTCATGATATAACTGCCTAATCTATAAGATCTTACGCGGAAGTCACACCATCGACTACGCCAACTCACTGTATCGTATCAATTACCAATACATGCTGTAGAACAAGGTTAGGCTAGAGAAAGAACAATATATTTAATATGAATAGAAGATATAAGGTAACATTCGGCAGAGACCACGCCTGCATGGCCGAACCATGCCATCCGATCAACTCCAATTCATTCAATTCATTCTTCGCGCCTTCTCCATTGTTAGGTATTTATCCGCGTTAAATATTGAATATCTATTTTCTGAGTGGTCTCGTGTTCAGCTTTGTGGTTTGATCGGTTATTGTTCAATGCCACTACAAGTAGTAGTGTATTTGTTAGCCAGCAAGAGTATGTCACGCTATGTGGTTGCATAACGGAAATGTGTGTTCAAGATCATTGACTAAAACAACAGGTACAGTCGTTTAATGATAAATATACATACAGTGAAAGGTCGACAAAATAAATACAAATAATATTAAAAACTATTGACAAAATAAGCTTATCAGGTCTATCTCCACAGCCTTTTAGCTTCTTTGGACAACAATAATGC